TCAAGTCATTCTGAACGTGACACTGCTTCACCCTTAAACGATATCGCTTTGTCCTTGATGATCGACTGTTTCTATCTAAATTGCGTGCGCCTTCTACTTTTGGATCGCCCACGCATCTGCTATTATTGCCAGGAGTGACTGCGCTGCACAATGTAAAATTGCTGGGGCATTATGAAAGCGCGTCAGCGACCAGGTTGGTGCTGCCCGTAGTGTACTTCACTGTAAAGCCGTACCGCAGAAGGCACTTGAACCAGTAAACAACCTAAATTTCCTATTCCTGACAACTCTTGGTAGGGGGCACCGAAGACTGATGGTCACGACAGTCAGTGAAATTGCGCCCATACAAATAGTGCCTCGATTATTTCACGTCCTACTACACCACATAAATATCCTCTTCCCATACTGGATAGTGCTGCTCGATGTCGGTGAAGTGATGAGAACGACAAGCCATATTTTGATACTTTCGAGAGCCCGGAGCTTGTTGAGAGAATATAGGACACACCGCTATGTTATTATCATTGGTCTCCTAAAGGAATGACTCATAATCGGGCAGTGCGAGTACCGGGGGAGTCGCAAGACGGCCGGTGATACTATCCCCGAAACTAGCTCTCCCCATGCCGAATTGCCTCTCCTTACGTGCACCAGTCAAATAAGCGACGATCCAAGCAATTCCAGACATAAAATTTTGGTAACAAGATTGACACTCGTGGAACTTCGCAGCGTTCTTGCCGGTGCACAACGGAAACGACTAAACCTTTAATTGCCTTAATTTTTTGCCGAAGCAGGCACAATTTCTGCAGACAACATATGAAAACCCACAATCATTACTGCTGTTTATGAAGCAGTTGTGTGACTTCATGTACTTGTACCGTAACAGCAAAGCACTTGCTGTAAGTGCTTTACGTGCTTTTGAACGCTTGGTATGAAAAGTCTGAGTTGTCCATCCGGACAGCCAACCATAGCTCCCTAGGGACTCATATTAGAATCCCTACTAACTTGGTGTTGCAGCTCAGCTCGTGCATAAGCAAGTTTAAGCTGCATACATGTACACTCTAGCTCGCTCAGATGAGTGCGGAAAGCCGTTTTGTGCCCGTGAGCAGGGTGAATGGCGGTTTTCAAGGTGGCGTGCATGAAGTCAAGTATACGGTAGGCTGCTGATCCGTATAGCTCGTAAAGTAAGTCGCCAAGATGTGCCACTTGGAGCCTCTGCTTCACAGTAGTCTTCCTTAAGGGCATTAGGCTAACGCACTTGCGCCACCGCCTGGCTTCCCCGACAGCAACTCTAGGTTCTGCCCAAAAGGGGTCTGCCGTTCCTGTACTTTGCACTTTTAAGCGAACCCACCACACTTCGCCCAGCCTCCCATTAATTCTGTGAGACCTTTTGATACCGCAGAACATAGCTTAGGACAAACCTGTAAATAAGCTTAATGCGATGCGCTGAATGACCAGCAGGCCATCTGCCCAGTATGTGCTTGTCAAGTTTTAAAGCATCCGCAATCTCCTCCTTAATATTTGTCTAACGCCTCTGTTTCTTAGCTAAAGGCTCAGTTGGCTTCCTGATGCGGCGTAGCGTAGCCACCAAGATAGAATGCATTTTTAGAGCCGTCTTCTCGTGCTGACCTGGCTAATCGCCGTCGTGAAGACTCTGCTTCACCTCCTGAAGACACCGAACTTTCCCCTCTCAATACCAATAAAATGGCCGCTATCGAGGAAAAGGAAAGTTTTTTGTTCCTAGCGCTTTTGCTGGACAGTCATTGACACAGCCCGCAGGTGTGGCTATATGCGCCTCCCATTGGGTCACCCACCGCACACTTGTGTTTACTTCATGGTTTTATGGTCCAATATAGAGGTGAAAGACCTTGATAAGGATCCACTCCTGATTTTGAAAGTTATTTTGTTGCCATGGCCTTGCTGATCCTTGCGTTGTGCCGCCCGTCACCAAACTGGAGTCTTCGAGACTGCGCTGACTAGTGAATAGGCGAATTGCACTGTTGCGGCATCGCCTTCGAAAAATGATCCAGTTTACATCCGGTACCACGTACCGCTAGCACTTCTTCACCATTACTCTGGAACTCGTAGCCGTGCGTGTGGTTATGCCCTTTTGTTAAGTCTCAACCTGTGGCCCTAACCTCGGTAATCTTCACTGTGCTGCAGCCCGCGTCAAGGGCTTTTGGGTTTTCTAATGCCCCCACTGCACCCGTTTCGTAAGCTGCTCTCGCTTGACCCAGTCCCTGCGTTCTCAAGTTTGTTGGCCGTCGCACTTTCAAGGTATATGATGTATTATTTCACGATAGAAGCATGTGTATTGTTGGGGACTATATAGGGCTGCCTAAGGGTGCTGGTTTTCATAGGTTTTCTTTTCTCACTCAATCTTGACTGTAAGCTAGAGCTGGTTGACGCCGCCCCGACACACATAGGTGCTAAATTCAAACTTGGCTCCTCCTTCTGAGCAAAGTATTTTAGGCGTCGGGTCTATTGGCTTCCTAAACTCAAGTGGTCCATCATCTGTAGAAATCCCACCCTCTGGCCGGCTACTCAGTGAGTCGCTGCCTATCCCGGGACCACCTGACATGACATGGATAGACCCCCAAAAAAATGTTAATGGCAAGGCGCCTCTAAGTCTCCCTTGTAAATCTGTAAACGAATGATTTATATTTCTCTCACTAAAGCGATATTTAAAGATTTTTCCGCTTCAGCTTTCTCAATTTTTTCAATGGCTGCTGCTGAAGTTTCGTTAGTCCGATAAGGCGGAGCATGTATGAAGGGGTTACCTGTATCATTCCCCGTAGGCAGACGACTTTCTTTGCCTGAATAGAGCCGCTACTGAATCGCATCTCCCTTTATCTGCCGCAAGGAGCACACGTGCGTCTTCATCTGAGGATACAAGACCAGGTACACCTTCAATCGGCTGACGAAATCTCTGAGTACATGCACATCCTAACGGCCGTCATATTTTTCTGGCGAACGTTTCCTCATCTATGCATCCATTAGTATTTTATTGATTGACAGGCCACTCTTTTCACCAGGTGTGGTACTACTGTGTTCACACTAGCTTGCAAGACGGTCTCCGCGCCACTAATAGGCATTTCGTCTCCTTCAACTTCATTTGCCAAAGGCCTTTTGGTAGCCCCTGCCCTGCTGTAAGAGAATGCCAAAATGTTGAATTACGTATTGACTTTATCCAAACCAGGCATATCTGGTACAAAGATATGCATTCCACTGCACCCACACCCAGTGGATGAGCGAAAATTAGCTGCGTCGAAGCAGGCGTCGCTACTTATTGCACCGTTTATCTAAGATTTTTGTAGAGAAACACGCCTTATTTTAGGCTCAACTAAAACTTACTAGTTCATTGAGCGTTTCACTCAAAGAACTCCCGCATTTTCCTTCCGCGTCCCCCAGAGTTTTCGACATGAGGGAAGAGAAGCAGCTAGGGTGCGCGTAACTGCACGCTCCAAGCGCTACGAGTGTTTACATCTAGTTGCCCATAGCGTCTAGTACACAAATACACAAAGTGATTTCGCCTTGTAGCGAGCTCACAGTATTCTGCAATGAATAGAATACACGGGCTGACAAGCCAGCTAGCAACTTTTTCTAGCTCTTAGCTAGATAGAAATAGTGTAGCGGGAGAAGTTTAAGCGTAAGTTAGCCCGCTACTTCCGCAACGATCATAGTACAACTATTAATAAATGAATCCACTTCACAACATATATCACAAATGAAACCCCTCGCCAATCAGTCGTTGGTATCCCAAATATTCATTACACATAGGCCACTTTGTCGGCAAGCGTGCGGACGTTGCTCAATCCGCTGCAGCATCCAGGGAAGTGCTCGGTGGGAATCACAATGCTGGAAGGAACGTAGGCGAAAAAAAGTTGATCACCTGCAGGTTGATGCTCTTAACAGGTGAACAAAGCAGCGCTTTCAAGGACCAGCATTAAAATGTAAATAGAGTGTTTCCTGAAGAAACCATAAGTCGACGGATACCAGGCACTTGGCACCAACTGTCGTGGCCAGTCACGGGCCAACCCACCGATGGTCCCACGCTTATGTGTCCTTCTAATGCTAAAATTTTTAGCGCAGTGATAGGCTTTTGAATAATCTTGCAACCGAATGTCCCCACAATGGTTATTTCGGCACCCCTGTGCTCAAGACAACAGCTTGACACTAGTGGATGCCCTTGCAGGCACGCATGCCACTGGTGTATGCCACTGAAGCTGTGGCAATAATGAAACATTTTGAAAGTATTATTATGCAACGTCCAAAACTAAGGATATCGACAAACAATGAAGCATTTCCATACTGCTGCTGCGGTAAGGCATCCACAGATGGGGCTACAGTAGTCTTGGTTTCCTACAAAGATCTCAGTCACATCTTTCCCGTTTTTCGCTCTAATGCGTTTATTGCTTTTCTTGCTATATTTACCCCCACCTTGTCATCTGCCGTGCTTCTTTCTGTGAAGTGCGTGTTCCAGCGATGCTAAGCGTGGGCTATCAACGTGTAACGCATTTGGGGCTTCGCGTTTGCTGGCGATCTTGCATCGAGGCAAGCATATGGCCTGTATCTCAAGAGGATTGTTTCCTGCTTGACCAATCTGCTGGAGTCCTGACACCAGCAAATCGACCGAAACAAGCCGCGGCACACGCCCCCATGGTTTGCGGAGTCTTTCTTCAAGTAGACAGAACAAAGTCTGAAAAGGATAACATTCCCGGTGTATTTTCGCGTACAATGCCGTATGCATGATGCACTATCTATGTCCCTTAATATAGGGTTTAAGCATGGAATTCATATGGTGCACCGGGACATATCGAGAGCTTAGCCTGATTCAAAAAATGTTAGTTAAACGCAATTTGTCTGCATATTTGAAACAGACAATGAGTGTAGCAGCTTCATAGCCGAAGAAGAAGCTTTTTCTATGATCGTGAGGATACAAGGAACCTAGACCCCACACCCTTGCTCGTTTCTTTTCCCAGTACAACCCTTTTTGCTTATTCTAGATTATGCAGCAGGATGAACTCCAGGGACTGCCCCCGTTCGGCAGTGAGAAGACATATAATGCCAGCGTGGGGTTTGATAAGGAAACCGACACCGGTAGCTCCTCTCAATCCGAGGTTTGTATCGGCGTCACAGGTTCTACTCAGCAGTGTACAACTATGCAGAAGGTATGCAACCAAGCCCCTTTCGTGCGATTTGTTTCATCCCAGTTCACATAGGTGAACGGGACAGTACCGAGCTCTTTGAATTTTGCGGGCTATGCAAAAATGAAGGAAGCGGATCGCATTTCTGTTTCTTCGTTCGTGTCGCAATTATGTAATCGCACTCCCTTGAAACGTGCATTTGCTTGCTTACATCTCATGAACTGCCTTTTCTGGTCCGCTAACACCTTTAGCCCATCAATTTTTCAGCATTATTAACTAGCTTTATTTGTGGGCCTTATCTTGATGCCACGGCAATAACAGAATTTTTCATGCGGGGACTAAACGCACCTCGACCATTTTGAGTGGTTACACCTTTGTACCATTTGCAGGCTCTACGGCATCTAGTGTAATCATCCGGATTCTCGGTGCATGGTTTGCTCATTGTATATATTCTCAGGATCTGCATACTTTCAAGCCTTCTCCCCAACTCAGAATCAATCGTACCTGGCGGAGCATTCTTAGGAATTGCTTTTTCTCCCTCGTCTTTACCTGTACTTTGATTGTGTTGGTATTGGTGTTACAAGCATACAAGTGGGACTGGCATGGGGAAGCACAAGCCCCTCTTCTGTCCCTGCCCGTACAGACAAGTTGGCGTTTACTGGTTCGCCCTACTGTGACCTGTGCACGCGAACCCCCGTTTGCTGCATTGGTGATCCTGAGTAGTGCACGGGACTTCTCAAGGAGAAAGCTGGTGAGGGAAACCTGGGGAGGGGAGTCTCAGGTTCATTCCCGGCATGTGCGCCTCTTTTTCATCCTAGGGGCTGCGCACTCCCGCAAAGCCCAGGCGGCGGTAGAGGCGGAGGCAAGACAGTACGGAGACATACTACAGCACTCAGCCCCAGACAAGTACAACAATCTAGCGGCAAAAACAGCCACAGCTATTCAGTGGCTAGCTACTTCATGCCCTCAGGCCAAGTTCATGATTAAGTCAGACCTAGACACTCTCGTTAATTTGGATCTCATGATTGCTTATCTAAAGCAAATGGAAGGAAAGGGGGACCTGGCCCTTGGAGTGCGGATTGGCGGGATGCCTCTAGTGGAGCATCGGAGCAGTAGAAACTACCAAGACCCCCTTGTGTACCCCCGTAGTACGTTTCCTCCCTACCTATCCGGTGCCTGCTATGTCTTGTCCGGCAGTTTGGTGCAGAAGCTTCAGAACGTCCTACGGGAAGTCCCTGTGGTGCGGAATGAGGACACTTTTATTGGCATGTGCCTTGAGAAGTTGGGGATACAGCCCAGCAACATAGGGTCACAGGCCCCCATTGAACCCTGGTTTGATGCCTCCAGGGGCCCCTGTGCCGCATTTCGCCTTGCAGCTGTCCATCCATTAAGACCGGACCTTATGCACGCCATGTGGACGTGGTGGAAGAAAGAGGGAGCCAAGTTTTGTCGCTAAGAAATACATATGCATACTGCCCTCAGAGAAACATGGTTGGCTACACTGGCTACAATAATTCCAGGTCGAGAAGGTCGCTCTACGATCAACGAGCTAGTGCAGTTTCGCTACCCCCTTTTATCACACTCTCACCCCCCCGTGACCCCTTGCCTAGTGGACGTCGCCGCAAAGAGGCCGCCCAAAGGCAAGAACTCCCAGGTGAATAGAAGTTCAATTTATCATGAGAGAAGGTCTTTTTAGCAGTGGGACACCGTGCCGCGCCTTTCGCAAATCATGCCTTCATTTGCACGGCACTTTTAGTGTGCTCAGCACATTCATTCGTGCCGGAAGCTTTTTTTGCAGTCTAGTGTGCGCGTACTTGTGATTTCCAATCGATATTTAAAGCAGCTCATACGGGGGGGCGTGTGTATCAATAGCAACAGCAGACATTGGAGAAAGCATTACGAATCTTTCTCTCCGTTTTCATTTTCTAATACAGACGAAAGGCCGCAAGGGTTGGTGCTTGTTTTATTTTGGCACCCGACCGAAGCGGGTAGAATCTTAAGTGGGCATAATATCTGTTTATTGCCCAGAACAAAAATCCATGTTCAAGCTGCGAACTTTATGTGAACCGTGAAGTCAATATTTTAGTACCTTTAGGGGGACAGTATGGGACTTTGAATTCCACTTACTTTTCCTCGGATTTTTCTTCGCTTTTTCCTTCGTTGTGCCTTCATCAGATCACTAAAAGTACTTAGTGTCTATACAAGTGAAAGTTATCGCCCTTGGGGAAACGCATTTCAGGCTGCTCCATATTCAATTTCGCAACTGATGTCACATGCACAAAAATAGCCTGAGGGCCTTACATCGCATGATTTCTGAGGACTGAAGCCAGTTTTCTTCTATTCACTGTTTGCTGAGATACTAGGAGTGCGTACAAGCTGCATCTGCGGAGTGGAGACGATTCTGGGTGAGGCACTGAGGTGGGACCGGTTGACGACTGTCCCCTCTTCTATTCCGTAATGTATACTATACTGGAAAGCCAAGGATCGCGGAGTACCATTCCAAAATCAGAAAGAACATTGCATTAAGACCCGGTTGCTCTTTTTGGCATCTTGTTACCCCTTCCATGGTTCCCGAATCGTAGCTACTTTTCCCCTACAAAGCTTATTTTGTCAACCTTTAATTGGCATGCCTATGTAACATGTGCCGACAGGCGTAGCCTTACTCCTAAGCCTCCGGGTGTAAGTGCACTTCGCAGGCACTGAAGCACTATTTTTCATTATGTAACATTCTCACCTTTGTTTGCCTCCCCGTATAACTATGAAGTGAATCGTCTATGTCGGCTATGTTTCGTGTAGGACACGGTAAAGCAGCAAATGAATCCTGAATCAAAGCGGACAATTTGCGTCCTGTTTCCAATCACAACACCAGAAAAACTAGGACTTCACTTCACGGATCACACATTTGGCGCCGTATGGCCTAAATCCTAATACCTGGATCATTGCCACAAACCCTAGGCCCTAGCCGTTGCGTCAACTAGTGCTTTGTATCCAAAACAGGCACACTTCACACCCTTCCGCTTCTTTTGCATGCTAAGCCTGAATAAAAGGTGTCATAGGTAATTTATTGTGGCATTACGTACAATAATTTGCGGCTGTTCTCCCATACATCTCGCAGTCCGCCAAGGGACAGCCGACACCGATCGCCTCATTCGATTCAGCTAGCGTGGTGCAACGCCAAGCCGTTGGGTTTGTTGCGTTTCTGTTGAGAAAAGAGGATATTTACCCATTATTCTGCTAGTTTCAATGCGTTTGAGGTGTTATTTTCTTCACTTTGACTCATTCCTCGCTAAAAAGCCTTCTGGTACTCTTCTTTTCTTCTTACCCACGCTGCGGCCACTTGCCGGAGGACCACTGCCGCAGTAACAGCAGTAACAACGACAAAAACTCTACCATTTGTGTTTCCCTTTCTTCCTTTTCCCTCTGTTATGTATTCCTATGGTTTAAAAGTGCCTTTTTTACTTTTTGTATCCAATACCAAGAGTCAGGAACACCCCAATCGACAGCAGTCAACGGCGGAGCCGATTGACAGTGTCGTCTACGACGACGGCAGACCAGTCAACTCAATAGGCAATCTTCTTCCCAAACAAACGGAGGTAATTTTTGCTCCAATTTCATTCGTAAGTTTTCCCTCAGTCGGTGCATTTTGAAGATCTGGAACCGGCACAACGGGATTGAACTGTTTCCTGCTATCGTCCTTGATCCCAATAGCATAGCACTCAGCCTCCAAAAGCAGAAACTAGCTGGCCAGTACGGCTCATATATCTTCTCACATTCCCACCTTCTTTGAATCTAGCCATGTATCAGGAATCCGCACTGCTCTCGGTTTTCTCACCCGTTTGACTGCTCCCTGGTCTGCAGACTCAAGATGAACCAGCAGAGCAGTGATATGAGGGCCGCTGGCTCTTCCTCACCCTCGGCCCATTCAGCCGATAGCTCACCCTCCCAAATTTCACCCAGAAATACAGGCCAAGGATCGGTCCCGCAAGTAACTTACCCTCTGGACACCGCACGGAGTATCCCAGAATCTCGTCCAGCCCGTCTTATATTGCCACCCCACGACTTCGCATCAGCAGAAAATGCATCTGGTATGGCATCGCAGCACTCTCCTCAAGCAGACTTCATGCACTATTACAGCGCACAACGCCATCAGCAGCACTACCAGGGAGTTCCGCTGTACGATAGTTCGGATAATACACTCCCCATAAAGAAGAAAGCCCTATTTTCTGCACCCTCTAGCAGCGGGGCTAGCAATACTCACGAAACCGGCCTAGGCATTCCCTACTCCTCCGGAGCCTGGCGTGGTACAAAGCCTGTCACCACGACCCCCACCAAGATATCCCTACCCCAAAATGCGTACCCCCTTCCTCAGCCTTTGCTAGAGAACAAGCTTCCCAGGGAACAACTATTCCTCGAGTCTTACAATCAAACAGACCACGCCGGTGCGGTGGCTACGTGCCGTCTAGAGCGAGTGCCGTTACCGATGCTGGAGAAAGTCCCTGGAGGCCCTACTCCTTGCCGCATGCGCGTGGACGGGCCCTTGGTGCGGGTTCGCCTGCCCCATCTACCGGAAGTAGATGGTGACATAAAACGCTTCTGTCAGAGAGTAATGATGGCAATCAGCGGGGCAGCCGATGACTGCCGCCGGCTTGTCAGTCCCTGCACAGAGCTGAGGCTCCCTAAGCTTAACTGCTACGCCCCACAGCCCACAGCCATCCAAGAGTGCAAGGAATGCGGATACAAGGGACACTACTGCCCAGAGTGCGGATCAGGACAAAAAGCTGGGGATATCCCTCTTGTTGGCGCGGCATACGCAAGGATCCAGCCATCTAGGGGCATCTTGGGTAAGTTGATGCGAGAAATTCCAGGCTAGTGACGAAGGTTTTCAGGTTTAAATGCAACCACTTCATATCACACCAAATTTTTGTTCGAATAACTTTTTTTCAAAGCTGATTAAGCTGCTGCTTCTCTCTTGTTTCCTCTTTCTCCTCTGGGTTTCCTTGATGCAGCGCACTCTGGCCGTATGTGTGCCGCCGGGACGCAAATGTGTTGTAGCCCCTATCGTTGCTCAATTTTACAATCCCCAAGCCATGCATCTGTGCTATGTGCGGTTTACTAGTACCCCAAGAAGGCTACCTCGAGCGTTGCATGCGTTGGCACTGGTCGCTGTTTGAAGAAGTGGGTAGCGCAATAGACCAAGAAATCCTGTGCGACCGGACGGGAGGCCTCTTCAGGGAGTTCGGGGAGTTCGTTGACAATTTGGTAGCGGAGGGAATACATGCAGTCAGTTTCGGCTTTGCGGGACTATTTAGCGCTATACCTGGAAGAAGCCGCACTATTGTTGAAGGCTACCCAATGTATGAACCCGAACCGAAGTTCATTCGCAAGGAAAGACCCACTAGCGCAACAGGTTAGGCAATAGGAGTGGGCGCACAAGCATATCGCTGGCTGTGCCCTTCTCCTTTTTACCCCTCACTTTTCCGTTTACTGAACATCGCTCCATTTGTGCCTGTACTGCTCCTATCTGTATGTGCCTTATCTCGAAGAAGCTGTTCTCGTCAGTGGAACCCCCTCAGCCGTCCTGCTTGTCAATATCTGAATTTTCCGCATCCTCTGTGTTCGGCTTTGTTTGTTCGGTTACATTTAAGCAAAAGAATAGACAGACGCGTTGTTTCGCGTTTTGGTCATGGCACAAAGCGAGAATGTCTCCTTGTGTTTTTAAAGGTTTTTCTGTCTGCCGGTGCCTTTTTACTCTCCAGGTAGCGCTTGCGTAGACCATGTGAACGCCTTTCTGGATGCCTGCCTCACCAATCCCTCAAGCTTCCCACTGGAACTCCAGCCTCCCCCAGTTCCGGATACCCAAAAAACTGGCAACTGGCTCATTGACTCTGCCAATGCTGCACTTGACTACTGCCTCCAAGATGTAAGCCCTTAACAGAATGAACATGGAGAATAAAAAAGGGCACTTTAAATCTCAGATTCCGTTTTGGAGTGGAGGGGGAGGGGGGCGGAGGTATCGACTCTTCAAAATTTTGCATTCCACAGTCACTGAACGGAGATCGTTATGTTGTCATAGCATGTCATTTGTGCTCGACTTGTTTTTACGTTTGAGCCTAAAGACCATTAGACCAACATTACGTGGAACGAGAAGCAAACATCCCTGCATTCCTAACGCATCTCTCTGTACTGTCTTCCTCAGCGCACACCGCCGCCCCTGCCGCCTCTTAAGAAAAAGATATGTCCAATTGAAATGCTTATTCCTCCATGCTGTCGCGAACGACCTTCTGTCCCCCCGCCTTCTCCAAAACAGCGTAGGTTTTATCGTAATGACAGAAATGTGGGGAACGGGGACGGCGCATCCTTACAGATACAAGGGGTGTTTACCCAGCTTCTGTGTGGCAGAAAGGGACGATATTCATTTGTGAGTATTACATTAATAATTGCCTGAGGCTTTGTTTTGTCGGTCCGGTTTTCTGATGCAGCGATGTGCCCTCTTTTCGAGCACTGCATGGGCAAAGGCCGCAACTGCCCGCATTGTCATCAGGCGATCCGTCCATCAGGGGGCAAATGTCTGTTGTCTATTTCCATTCCACTTCCATTCCCTACTCCCTTTATTTTTGCTTAACGCTGCCACACACAACCGAACACCGCAAACCCCAAGAGTGCTTTGCTTCCTTTTGCAATGCATGGCCCCCTGAGAAGTGTGCCCTCCAGTGAGCAAAAGCTGATTCCCTGGTATAGTGATGTTGTTGCTGTTGCAGGTCCTAAGGAAGATGTAGGAGGATGCCAGATACAGCTTTGTCCGATGCAAGAACCTGAAATTGCCGTATTTCCCACCGGTCCAGCTCTGGTTTACCCATACACAGAGGACGGTAAGCTGGACCATACATTAAACTGGGATGCCTATGCTGTTAAAGTTGAAATGTGGACTGCTTAGGTCGAATTTCATTTTTCGTCGGCAGTAACATGAAAAATGCTGGAGCTGAAGGGTGGAGCAGTCACAGACTTAGTGCCGTATAGGTTGTTTGTGGTCTGCAGCGTTTGACGTGAGGGACAAATCTGGCTTGGTTGAAGTGCTGGACGACAGTGCGGATGGAACACCCTGCAGACACATAACCGTCCTGTCCGAGCCAGTCAAAAATTACTAAGGACTGCTTCGTTTCCTAAGCATCCAAGACATGCTTCTCGCCTTCAAGCTGCACAGTCAACAGGCACTCTTTTCACAATCCTCGCGAGTCCAGGGGGGGCAATTCCTTACTTCCTTCAAACCGCCCTTTGCATTGCTTTCTTGACTTGTATCAAAACCTCTCCTGTTTACACTTCTGAGAGAAGGAAGCACAACGGATCTCCGTTTATACAGCGTCTCTGCAAATTATAATTGGCCAGCTAGCACTCACTGCAGCATCTGATGCTGCGCAGGACGTATACCTCAAGAAATGGCAGAGACACTTAACTGGTCTCTAGCTCAGAACTGGTTCTCATATGTAAGGTATTCTCATTTTGGGGTCGTCTGCGGCCGTTGCAAGCAATAAGCCTTCTACAGTATTAGAGCTAAGGTGTACGCAAAAATATTTATCACTAAGTGCACATGTGTAGCGCTACGAGTTAGTGCTCTCGAAGAGGTAAAATGTAATTCATTCGCTCGCATCCCAGAGGCTATTAAGCAGGAAAACTCCGTTTGAGGGGCGCTTATGCCCAATGGCCAAAAAATTTAAACTAAATGCTAGCCGTTGCTTTTTGGAGTTCCATCATTGCACGCGCCTTCTGAACGCAAAGAATCAGAGGCTCCCCACCTCTGACGGTGGACAGTTGCTGATGCTGATGCAATCACCATAAATGCCCTGATTTGGGGGCCTGAGTAAAGCCACAAACTGCAGCACGAAGAGAGTGACTAGCCAATTGCTCCCGCCAACAGCATCGATGGTTAGAGGCTGGTTACCGCAAGTGACCTTGTTTCGGGCTGCGGCAGGTAAGTACGGGAGAGAAGTATCCGTGTGTATACCACGCGGACTTGATCACAAGGGCCCAGCTGCCTACCCCTCCCCTGGGTCATCCCTCTTTGTATCCCTTTGTCTTCCCCTCTTCTTCTCACCCACTATTGGGAACCTCACATAAAATCAAAGTCTACGAACTCTTCCCTTGGCGTTTCCATGAAGAGCCAACACACAAGGCAAAAAGCTGCAACAGCCAGAGACAAGGCCTTCGGCAGCAAAGACCCATACATACCCGCCTGTTCGTTGCAAACATTGAAACTTTGCAGAGAACTGTGACCTCCTCTCCTTCCGTGTGCCTCAGAGAGCGTCAACCCCTCCAAAGAAGTGGAACGAGGAACTCCACCAGGAACGATACTCTTATCACGATGCACATGACAGCTCTGATCCTGTTGTTCGTGCTGGTGTCGGTGCGGCGCCTGCCGTGCAGTGATGCGGTGCAGCAGGCTCTGCGATTTCAGTGCTGCGCCGGCCTCGCCATTTGTCTTGCGCATTCCCCCCACGCCTAGCTGCGATTGCTCGCCCACCAGCCCTTCTCCTATGAGGCTTTCCCCGGTCATTTGAGCCATGAAGGACTCTTTGAACTGTCGCGCACTCCAGGAGTCGTAAGAGGTATTGAGGAGGCGCCAGAGGCAAACAACCAGCACCAGGGCAAAGCGTGCGCACCAGCCGAACAGCCCAAAGAGGTTAGCCATACCGCTGTAGGCACCCTTTCCCTCTGGAGATTCCTCCCCAAAGGCAGACACTCCAAAGGTTGATAAACCCACACCCCGCCTTCCAGAAACTCCGCTAAATTTCCCAACCTCTGCAGCCTTCCCAGGTTCAAGGATGTCCACGCTTGGAGTAGTATCCTGCTGTTGAGGACATGGCCAAGGACGCGACAGCGGCTGCTGCTGTTGCAGTTTCTGCTGATGCCATGAAGGTTGAATTAGATGGGGTAGGATCCCCTTCCGTTGCTGCTGATGCTCCGTCGTCCGTGGCACGAGAGAGGTCTCATGAGACTCCTGGAGTAACGCAAAGCCAGCTGAAGTCTGGTTTTGTTGCCGAGTTTTCGGCTCAGCATCGACAGTCCCGCTAGCAAGAGGACCTTGAGTTGTCCCTGCTTGTGTACTGTACGTGGTCGCAGATCGCGGAAAGAGTCTGTGCATCTCGAGAGAGGCAGTGATTTGAGACAGTTCTCTTTGGTCTGAAGCATCCAGCTCCAATGGCCCGTCGTCCGATTCCCCTAAGCCTGCACGCATAGTGCCGGCACTTTTTAGGGGATCCTGAACAGTCCAGCTACTGCTTAAACTCCTTAACTTCTGCTGCTCTTCGAGGGAATCCTGGTGCATCTTTTTAGCCTGCCACGAATAGAGAGACTTGCCGACAGTAGGAGCATCGTGGTTACATGCAGTGTGGTGCTGCCGAGTTGCAGAGTGCTGTTCCGCATCGACGCTCCTCTGTACAAAGGGGCGCCTGGCTCGAGGCAGGGGGGGCTGGCCTTGGCGAAGTGTGGCTGTGCGTCCTGTTGAATGCGTTGCAACAGCAGGCACTGAATTCATAGATGCCACTCTGTATGGACTCGGGCTACGGACGCGAGTAGAAGAGGAATACTGAGGCTGAGATTGATGGGGGGAGAGGTCATTACATTCTGGAAGAGGATTTCTGCTTCGGCTGCGAGAACTGCTCGTAGTCCTCATATAACTCTGTTGTGCCCTTGAAAGTGTCTGGCGCTGGAGCTGAGCTGAGAAGTTTGAAGAAGAGCGGGATATTGAGGGAGACCGCATCTCTGGGGGTGCAGTAGTTCTGAGGTTTCTTACGAATAGCTGCGTCTGCCGGTCTGTGCTGCATGCACTAGGGCGGCGTAGAGGGGGTGCATCATCAAAAATGGTACTGCTGCGCTGTTTTGCTGCAATACTCTGGGCCAAGGCCCCAGCAGGTGTGGTTGGTAGAGGCATCTTCTAGCGCAAGTAGTAAGTATTTGTGTGGATGAAACCGTGGGTAGGTTGTAAAGGATGAGTGCATCCGCACGCTCGAGGCAAACTACCACAAAATCAGATCGCCGCCTCAAGCCCTTGCAAATGAGGCTTTTAGAGCAGGGCGTGCTCCTACATGAAGGCGGCGGCTGGGCAAGACAAAACTTCCATGCAGTGAAAGAGAGACAAAAGAGAAAAGACGGTTCAGAAGGAGCCAGACACTACCTAGCATATCCAGTAATCCAGTTGGAATAAGTATAGCTAATGCAATAGAAAACCGGAAGTGGAGAAATCTGTAAATGCTATAAGAGTGCGAGTTTGTGTTCTTGACCCCCGGAATGATTTGAGCAGCTCAACGGCGGAAGCAAGGATCTCAGGGAGAGCAGCCAGGCATTTTGGAACCTCAGAACAGAACTACCATAGATTGAAGAAGCTATTACATTATTGTTTCACGGGAAACTTCGTGTGAAGGAGGATCGTCGCATTTTTTCTTGGGGCTTTTGGTACCCTCCAGGAACTCGGCGGGGTTGGTGGTGTTCGCGCAATTCCCCCAGTTTGCCATGTGCCAAACGGGGGAATGTTAGGCTGTAGTTACTTATGACTGCCATGTTTCTAATATTTCATTTTGTGCAAAAATCGGGTGTCTGTCCAGAGATTACTAGTTTTTCTTCTGTCAACTCACCCCAACCAGCGCGTCAGAGGAGTTGGTTTCGGGGCTATCTTAACCGTCATTACCGTCACAGGGTTGGTTTGTTTTCCGTCAAAAGCAATTGACAATGTGCTCACCTGAGGCAACTGCTCTGGTGATACACTGATCTGAAAGTATACTACTCAATCCCGTGACACAGCACGCTATGTCGAGCCGACTGACCCACTCATAGGTAATGCAGCGAAAATAAGCTTCACGCACACTTTCTGCCACATTGGCTATGCAATAACTTCTGATGGGTCGGGTAATGGCTTGCTTGCTTGTACATTTTCCTTGCAGAGTACTGCTAGCTCGATACAAGAAGATGCAATGCTGTGCCCATGTGCGCTACTTTGTATGAAGAACTTGGCTTAATTTCTTGCAGTACTCATAGGGTGTGACTGCGCGGACCCTAGCTGTGCCACTTACCTAATGTCGGAAACTTGGAGGAGCACGGACAGGGAAAGGTAAAGCTCCTGTGGAAAGTCCAGTAACTTTCTATCGGGTCTGCCTGGGCAGACCTAGCTGGAATGTTACAGTTGGCAGAACCAAATGGCTCGAGGCAGCTGTTGGCTGCTCAGACACTGGCTGAGGGTGCATCAAGATGTGGGGTTTCCCCTACCAAACTTGTCCGGTTTCCATCAGGCCATTTGATAATTCGGCTATCAGATTGTCTTCGGCAGTACACTGGGGAGCAGACCTGCTGGCGGTGGAGGTTAAAGATAACACAATGTGTGTTGGGTCGACACAGGCCGGCTTGCAAGCTAATGTGACCGTAGTAACCTTGCAGCCGGTATAAAGGAGCGGTTTACTAATAGATTAAACGAATGGTCATGCATGCATAAGAGAGTTGAGGGCAATTGGAAAATTATGCACGCCGGAAGGATAGACAGACACTCCAATAGCCTAGATTCCATGGTATAGGAATGTTTCTTGCCTTGAAATACTCAAAAAAGAGGGGAATAAACCTTGTAGCAGGTTCGTTGGGGGAAAAGAAGTTCAGTATCTGCTCAACTCTCAGAAATTCATCTTCCTGTAGTGATTGCTGCAGGTCTTGCCTCCCAACACTCCCTGCCTCATACGCTAATGCCAAGATGTCCTCAACAGCAAGCACTGGGGGAACTGAGAAAGCTGAAGGAGAATCCATCACTGCACTTGCATATTGATATCTATGACGCTTTGATTCATGAACTTTACAAGGTAAGGGAGTACCTGCTTTATCAATGCGTTTTTTGGGTGTAGCCGGTGTCGTGGCGGATGACCGCAGCATGAGCACAGAGGCAGCGATTGGACAACTCACCGGTGGAGCTTCCGCGAACAATGGAGTACTTGAGGTTTCAGGAGCGAATGAACGCAGCGTTTGAACTTTTGGCTAAGAGTGACAAGATAGATGGAGATTTGGAACCTATGGATATTAGGGCCGTTTCAAATACCCTCAGCGCGCTGTTTTCTATGGTTTCCTTTTCTCCTCACCGTATACACCCTCTCTGACCAGCTCTAGACTGTACAGGACAATGCATATCTATCTATCGTGAGCAAAGTGTCATTTGCATTCGGAGCTCCAAGCGCATGCAAAAAGCCAAAGAACATAGAAGAGGTGCTCGGGTTAGTGGGCGCAACCTGCTTAGTGCGCAAAGACGGCGCATCGAGGAAGCGGAAAGGCCCCGCGCAGGCCACTTAGCAATAAAGGAGCCTTTAGAGGATACGGCTACACTTAGGAACCCACAACGGATCAATTGTGCGCGGATAGAAAACTATATCTAAGGGCAAGAGTTGCTAGCGTTGTTTGGTACCAGATGTAGAGGGGATCTATTATCCGAAGAAAAGGCAAGCCACTGTAATCTGTCTCTTCACCCCTTAGCGCCGCCCCTAAAACCCACGTTTGCTGATGAGCAGCAAAAGCCAGGGATTGACAAGGCTACCGCATTACACTGTGGCAATAAATCGGAAGTGGATCATATCATCATGCTTTATGGCCTCTCTGTTGGACCCAATCACTATGACGTAATCCTAGGCATGCCATGCGCTGCCCAACGGAAAGCGCACAAGGGACCACCACTGCGGGCTATAAGGGCTACAGTGCCGGAGATGCGCTAGGGACGAGCCTCTCCTGATCCCTCCGAAAAGCCATTGCATCTTAGTTGAGTGGGGAAACGTTGGAGGCTTAACAAGGTGAAGCAGACTCTCCTGAGGGCGGCTCAGCATTGCAGCACGAGAAGACGATTTGAGGATGCTCCCTGTCTTAGAGGCTCTTCAAGGAGATCTTCATGGAGAAATTTGATTAGCCTTGCACGTAGGAACACAAGGAGCTGGCAAATATAAAGGAGTTTGGAGGTGTGCTGGATGGAGACGAACTACCAGTGAGCTGGCCACCCCTAGTGTATTAGCATGCCACCCTGTTCCGCGATATCGGAAAGACTCATAGCACGACACGGAGCCTGAGATTTCAACAACTCGTTTACATAGCGCTGAAGCTACCACAATTGACAACGTCTCTAGGCATAACCGGGCATTGGTACCGGGGAAGGGCGAAAGGTGCAACATGTGCGTCAGCTTTCAGTACCCCAAACAGCTCATTGTAAATGTGGAGTTCCCGACGCTTTCCATTGACAAATCGCTTGACAAAGTCCATGCCTAGAGAGTCTGCCTTATGTTTAACTCCACAGGTGCCTCCCTTCAAATTCCTATTCACCCTGCTGATGGGCTCAAAATGCGTGCATACATCCCACTCATGTACTCGAGTGTATCTGTGTACCATTAAGAATTTCAAGCGCCCTAGCTTAATTGCAGCGTCAAGTTCTTCGGGAGGTGTAGGAGCACAGGAAGAAGCGGTGGATTGACGTATCAATGGATAGCCTTGTAAAATTCAGACTTAATGTTCAAGAGCACGTACAGCACCTACGCCGTGCGCTCAGCTGTTGCAAACAGGGAGTTATAAATACATACAAGTGTTTGTCTCCTACTTTTCCATTAGAACATTTGTGCGTTTGGGATTTTGTGTTTCAGCTGCACTACTTGAGCCAGATTCAGCAATATTAAATAAACACCAAGGCGTGACATTCACCAGTAGGAACCTTCGAGGATGTTGTGAGGTTTGGGGGCTTGCATCTTACTACAAGGTAAGTGCTGCTCAATTTGCTTGGAGCGCCTCCTGTTTGACTTATCAATCAAAAGAAACGCAGTCTGTGGCCCGGACAGAAGAGGGTTGTTCCGCAGGAATAAGGGACGTCGGCGGCCCAACAATTCCTCCGGTACTTGTGCTGCCCGATTGTTAGTTTCATTTCTCCCAACAAGACCTGCGTTACTAGTGTACCTGTGTGCACATTTTTCCTGCAAGTCCCGCATCTACAAAGCCTCAAGTAATGGCTTGTTATTCTTGTCACTTTACTGAGAACCGAGCCACGGCACTCGGCGCAGGAGCTGGAGCTCTATGATATCTCTTGGGGCGTGGAAAAGGGCGTTGCTGCATTACATCGGCTCAAATCATTGCGCAGGCGGACTATCAGTCTTTTGCATTCCTTAGGCAGACAATTCAGAGTACTCACTGGCTTCAACGGCTCCTGCAGTACATCTTTCGTGGAGCACATATAATACAGCACAAAAACCATTGCCGCACTCAATAGCACCCCAGCGACTCAAATTTGTGAATTTCGAGCGCGTTTGTCTGCGGCGTTTCACCGCTTCTACCCAATCGGGGTGCGCCTTACGCTTTTGACAGCCATGATTCCGCCATTGTTGCCAAAATCCAAAAGGGCAAATGGGTGAAGTCCCATCACTCTGAGGATTACCTAGAGGGACTCGAAAAATGTGTGGGCTCTGTCGTTCGTACAGTGTAGCTTCGCTCCGCAGTGTCGCTGCTAGCAAAGCACATGGTATGCTGTTTCCGGGAATAGGGGACTCGCACTTCAATGACCAAGCTTTCACGTTCTTTCTGGCTGGTTTAAATGCGTCTCGCTGCAGAGGAGCACTCGTTTGCATGCCAGAATGTTAGTCGCTAAACCCGCATCATTCGTCTACACCGGGCTTTGCACAGCCTTTCGCCGCCCTGAGAGAAATCGGTGGCTGTGGATCTGACTGTTGGACTGTTTGAGGTCAGGGGTTCGGAAGCTATCCACGCGGATGCCAGCAAATGCAGTGAAAGAGCCCAATTAATACTTTACCTCATTCACCCCTCGAAACATCATTTAATTGCTTTTAACACATCTTTGGATCTTTCACAGATTTCATTTGCAGTTCTCCCATGAATTCATGCTCTTCCTGCTGTGCCATTTTACCTACAAATCCGTCGAATGTA